ACACACACACACAGAGAGAGAGAGAGAGAGAGAGAGAGAGAGAGAGAGAGAGAGAGCGCTGCATGTGGAACCACATATGCACCCATTCAAAGAAGATCTGCCCTCCAAATGGAGGTAACAGTTTTTCAGGAATGACCCTCCACTGTGCATACTCTCCTCCTCTCGGCTGGGCATATTTTCTCCTTACCTGGTACCAGGAGTATGCTCGGTCCGATGGATCAATGAGTATGGTGATGATCTTGGCTTTGGGGACTAGAGAAGCAGCCCTTTTAGGAGCTTCCTCTGAATGGAAGTAATTGGCACTCTTCTCAAACAGAAAGTCACTGGTGACATTAGATGGGACTGGGAAGAAATCCATGTACCTAGAAAGGAGTATCTTTCTTCAAAACGAGCCTCTCACGTTTATGTGCTGGTGACTGAAGACATTAAATGCGGCCAACAAAAATTCATCTGTCCCTTAAAAAACTGACAACCAAGATTTTCTCTACGGCAGTTGTTCCTCCAGTAGGCAAAGGAAACACATTCAAAACACCAGCAGTGTTCTCCTACACAATATGTTTTGTTTTGCTTAATTGCAGGAAAAAAAAAATGTTATGGGGAAGTAAAGCTAGAGGAACAAAAATCAAACTGTAGCTCCTGGCAGAATGCACGGAAACATGGAACCCAGCACAGAGACCCCAGACCAAAGAGAATGTGAGGGAAGAGAGGCTACATTTAGTTAAAAGACACTCAGAAAAATTCATACAAGATAGTTTTTTTGCCCTCACAGTAGACAAATATCACTCCCACCACTGGGTCTGGTGGGTATGTTTAATCACGAGTGTCAAAGCACAGAAAGTGTCTGTTGTAAACACCGTCCATTTGTTTCCTCTTAAAACACAATGTTATGCTGTTTCTCTTCATAATTTACTACAAAATCTTATCAATATTTCCTGGTTATGAGAAGTCAAATCACCAGGAGTGTGAACCCAGTAACACCTGCTGGTCCAAGCATAGAAATGTAGACATCTGCTAATGTTCCACTGACGCAAAGGTCAGCCTAACAACACCAGCTTGTGATAATCCAGATTTCCATAGCAGTAAGGGCTTTTGTTTAAAATTGAATTTGTATACATTGTATAATAATGGCCTCACTCTGCTCCCCTCCTCCCTTCACCTCCCAAGCCACCACCCCTTCAGGATGGGGACAGTTCAAAAATTACTCAACAGGAGTCATCAACATTCACACAATGGCTTCAGTTTATAGCGGGCTTCATTTCACCCGAAAGGTCACATGATTCTTTCATGTGACATTGCCTTTTAACCTGGCTGGGTTTCTGCTAGGATTCCAGCTGTTATCACAAAACAAAGTATAACTGAGGTCACAGAGACATCTCCACACCTAGAAAAACAAAATCTTGCTGTGTGTTCCAGGAACTGCCCTTCTGTGCAGGCCATTCGGCTCCCTTTCAGAGGAAAGAGACATGAAAACATTTGAGGGGCATTTGACCTGCTGTCTCTTGCGGTGTACATTCTATTTACAGAAGTGCCACATCTTGGCTTTCTCATTTTGGAGCTTATACTGCTTGGAGGGGCTAGGATTTCCATGAGTGTCTGACCCTATTTGCTACAAGCTTATTTCAAACCTGCTTCTTCTGAAAAAGCATCCAAAAACTGATGAGTAGAATGGACAGAGGTGCTGACAGTAGACAGCTTTTAACATTGAAAGACGTCCCACTTTTCCATCTGTCTTTTACCTCTGTAACAATTCAGGCTCTGAAAATCCCTTAAAGTCATCCCGAATGTTGGCCCTCCGCTGGTGATCTTCCCTAGACTGAGAGGTTTGCACAGAAAACCAGCCATTTCGTTTGCCCACATTGTCATATTCTCTAGGAGTTCAAAGGTGCAGACACTTGAGAAATGTTTGATTAGTAAACTAGCAAATACTGGTCCACATTTCCAGATGGAGACCTGGAATTTCCCCCAGGAGTGTCACTCCTGGAGGCTAAATATTCAGGACAGCCAAAGGATCAGCAAGCCCATTATAGTGACTTCAGGGGTTACACATGAATGCAGGCCCCTCAAGCTTTCAGACTTCCGAAGAGAATAAGACTTCAGCACCAAGAGAAAAATAATTCAAAAGATGTACTTTTTGTAGCACTGTATATTTATTTGTGATTTGCATTGACACTGGATCTCTTAATTTTTTTTTTTTTATGTGTGTGTGTGTGTGTGTGTGTGTGTGTATGTGCTTACCCCTGCATGCATATGTGGAGGTCAGAACTTGATGCTGGGTGCTTTCTCTATTATTCTCCACTTTTTTCTTTTTTAAATTTGAGACAGGTTCCTTCGCTGGACCTGTAACTGGCCATTTTGCTAGACTGCTGGCCTGCAAGCCCTCAGGGTTCCTTCTCTTTCCATCCCCTAACAAGTACTTTTTTTACTGAGACATCTTTTCCAAGATCTGATCCTAAGACTTTTCAGTTGATTGTACTCAAAGCCAGGCAATAACAGTTGAGGTTCCAAATGCTAACAGGGGTCTTTGGCTGTCTACACCAATTCTAGCTCTCCACTACAGCCCTTACATTAAAAACAGCGTTAAATCACGAAGCATAAAACTTACATGCATGAGTAAGCCAGATATTTTCCTGAGACTTTCTCACTGCAGGTTCTGGCTATTTCGTCAAAGATGGAATTTTAAATTTTTCACTTGCTCTATTTGTTGCACCTTCTTTGTATACTTAGACTACCTGTCAGTTAAGGCAGTCCGGGTTTTATCCAGATCTTAAAACAAAAGCCAATCCACACTAGATTAATTAAGTGTACTTAAACGAATTGTTAAAACGGTTCCAGAACTCTGAGGGCATATAGTCTTCAGGCTGTGGAATCAAAACCCCCAAATCACATCCGATGGGGTGAGGCTTCACAAGGAACCCAGGCAGTCTGCCTGGGAACACACCTGATGCTGTTGGGAGCAAAGCTGTAATTATAGCTATAAAATGACATTTGCAGTTACCATTATCTATTATTTGCATAAATTGCCTTTTATAATGTGTAATTTGTCAATCAAAAGTATTTGGGGTACTCTTGGTGAGCTGTATTTAGATCTACGATGCATTCTTCATTTATTTACTTATGTTTTGCAGTGTTGGAGATGTACCCAGGCCCTGCACATACCAGGCAACACTTACTACTGAGCTACACCCTTGCTCCTAGTGAGTTATGCTTAGTTATTTGTGTCAACTTCTTGTACGCTATTTGAAGAAATTTTAATTTTTATTACAGTTTTGATAAACATTACTAGCTTATGATCAAAAAGGTTTTGTTTGATATAATTTATAACAAAATTGATTATTCTTAAGTTCCAGTAATGCCAAGGATTTTACTAGTATTTACTCCTAAAGAAGTTTTTTTTTTGCCCTAATTTTGTCCTACTGTCAATGTTCTATTCTACTGGAGAGAGTGGTTACTGAGGTTGAAGTAGTTAGTTTATTTAACACCACACAATTAGTTAATATATGACACTGTGTGGAAGAATAGGCCATGAACTACAGGACAATTAGGATACAACTTCTGTAGATGCTCAAATGACACTCACCTCCTTAGTTTTTACAGATTACCCATAAGGACCTCTTGAGATAGCTGATCCTTAGCAAACTGAGATCATGCAACCAGCCTGACCACAGAAGCTTGTGCTCATGTCTACTCTACAGTGAATGCAAGGAGATTATTTCTGTGCTCTGGGAGGATGCGCTGTTTCCCAAGGTGTTCAACATTGACATCAATAGAGAGCACTTCTAACACATCTTATGCTCAACAAGTTATTTTCTATCACCCATTTTAACATATTTTTATATAGCTTGTTTATATCTATATTATTATTTCTAATGTTTATCATTTTCTTCAGATATTAACATATTTTAATTTTAATTCGAAGAATAAAATTACTTTTTTGATATCTTTAAAACCAGCTTTCACTATTCATAAAACATACATACATTTCTACTTTTAGTTACTTTTTTGCCTTTTCATTGAAACATGATAGGAAATGATATATTCTGACCACAGCATCACTTTATAAAAGGTGCACAAGGGCAGAGTGACATTCCTGGGGCTTACCCTATTTCTACAAATGCACATCTGCAATTACCTTCAAAGATAACTAATGCCAACTGATACGTGGGTCTCCTGAGGCAAGAAGACCTCCCATTAACTGGAAAGCCTTTTGTGCTTCTTTATGCTGGCCAACCAATTTCTAAGATGTGCAGCATGAATTTTATCTGTGGTCACAAATTTCTGGGTTTCTAAATATTAGCACCAAGTTTATACTGTGCACGGTACATATACTTTTAGATTTATACTAGTAACCCATCTTACCAATCAATCCCCCTGTGGTAGTTATTTCTATTAAAGAACTGTACCTCCTCAAAGGATTTTGGGCTGGGGGAGTTACTAAGGATGGAAGGATGCATAATCAGGAACAGACACAAGGCAGTGGTACCTGAAATGACAGCAAGGGTTGGAGATCAACGAGTGGAAAAGACAGTTACTCACTTCTAGTATTTCAGTCACTAATAAACGCAATATCATAATGATCCAGGCAGACTCTTTTGATGTACTCCCAGGCAACCGAACAGACCACCTGCAGCTAATGGGAGGCGCCTTCTTACCAATGGAGATAGCGCAGTGAGAGGGGAGTCCCCAGCCAAATGCTGGGAAACTGGCTTTTGATGTCAGCTAAGTCACAGGTTTGATCTGTGACTTCGGCTGTTAGCTTTTCTTTATTGCAGTTTTCTTAAAGGAAAAAAAAAATCATCGCTTCATCTATTTCACAGATTTTCTCTGATGCTAAAAGACATCCTATATTCTCTGCATACATGCTGTGGTTGTTTAGCTTGGGGTATCTGTGGGATTCCTAACAGCAGGAGTGGGGGTGTCTCTGACTCTTTCATCTGCTCTTCGGACCCCTTTCCTCCTACTGGGTTCCCTCATCCAGTCTTGATATGAAGGTTTGTGCCTAGTCTTAATGCATCTTGTTATGGCATGCTCTTTTCTGAAGGGAAACAGAGGAACAGCAGATCCGGGGGAGAGGGGAAGTAGGTGGGGGACTGGGTGGAGCAGAGGGGGTCGGCTGTGGTCAGGATGTAGTATATGAGAGAAGAATAAACAAAAAATAAAAAGAAAAAAGACATCCTATAACTGGATTTTTTAAATTAAAAATATAAGTGAACTATATCAATATTGAATATATTTCATTACCCAAACTGATACTTGTTTGATATAATATAAACTTTGATATAATGTTCTTCCTGAGGCCTGTGAAAGCTAATTAAGAATTTAATCTTTTAACAAGTTTGCATAAGCTTGAGTTTACCTACACACAACAAATGATCAAAAATCATTTAAATTGCTCCATTAAATTTAAGAAGAAGTGGTGTTCTTTTTAGGGCCATTCACATAAAATTTACATTTATTGGACACAGAATGGGATATCACAGGTACTCACATAGTTTGGGAGTAACAGTGCCATTTTTAATGGTGTAAAGCTAGTGTTGTTTTCACCTAAATCAGGAGGAAAAGCATGTAGCTCAGGCTACTCCAGGAGCAAGGAAGGCAGTTTGGGTTCAGTTTGCCCAAGATTAAAGAGTTATTTGCACCTATGACTGTGTTTAGAAGATCATCACATAAAGGTATCTCTGGTCTATACATTCAGTATTCCTAAAATACAAATGTCCCCTATGTTTTCTACACACTCATGTGATCTAACTGATGTGATCTAATGGGACGTGCACTGTCAGTTTTATTTCAGGTCAAAAGACAGCAAGAGCAATCTCACTTGCAGAAGTTGCCATCCTAATTTTGCCAATAATACTATCATGCTGCCATTTTTACAACATTTGCTGTTCTCTTAGTACTCAGTTTTCTTTAAAACTGTACTTCAATACATAGTATCTGTACAGTATAAAAGTGGTTAAAATATCTGTCAACAACAAGACTGTCTAGAGAATGAATTAAAAGAGGCAGTATACTAAGATCAAGTATCTAAGCTAAACAAAGAGCACTCTACCCACAACCAAGGAGACCAGAAGATGAAATGCAAGGACCTGAGATAGATAAGATGTTCTTCAGCACCTCCACTCAACACTGACCCTCAAACTCTGGCTGTAGCCAAGTCACATAAGACTGATTCACACAGACATCTGTACCCATCTCAGGGTTTCTGACTCAGTTAGGTCTAAGGTGTGGTTCAAGAGTTTGTACTTCTACAGAGCTCTGTGGTATCTATGTTGGTGTTCTGGTGACCGTATTTTTTTTTTAAATTAAAGAACAAGGAGAAAAGTGAAGCAGTCTTTAAAACTTATGTGGGGTGTGGGGTGGGGAAGAACTGTCCCAACTGAAAGTCACAGTGAGAGATCAAGAGTCGGGCAAATCCTAGGGCCAAGCATTTCCAGCATCACTAGCTATTTGAACTCTATGTCTTAGCTTCCTAATCTGTTTACTAGGGAAGAAAAAACTATCAGGGTTTCATAAATATCACCCAAACAGAGCCATGTAATATTTGCCTAATTCAGCATTCAGAATGGGTAAATTTTATTAGATGATGTAAATTACACCTCAAAAAAAAAACCTGGGAAAAATTAATTTCCACAGAACAATCATTTTTTTCTATAATGATTTTATGCCAAAGGCAAATGTCATATCCAAATAGTAACATAAACATTCAAAACCCAGTAGAGTTTAGGATGCTTAGTAATGCTTCTGCTGCCTAAGCATGATGTTAAAGTGTCTGCATCCGGTGCGGTAAGAGAAGCAATGTATCCTGCAGGGCCCCAATGCAAACTGGATATGCCGAGGTTCAGACAGAGGTGATCAGTAATGACAAGGTTATGTGCTGACTGAGGGAGTTCACGGAGGATATTTCAGTTTCAATGTTTTCCTAAGCATCTTTAGACTTTCAGTGGAAAAGGGCAAGGGAAGACATCAGAGAAAGGATGTCTGCCACTCTTATGCATGCTCTCTGGTATTTGCAAACGGCTTTAAACATAATGAAGTGTCAGAGTATGCTGATATTGCACAGAATTCAAAGTTATCTTTAGAGACAAGAAAAGGGACTGCCATGCAAGGTAGTTTTCGTGGCTGTTTTCTATGAAGCCAGAATCCAAGGGCCCCAAGTAATTTATCATGCAAGATGCAGCTCAAATGTTTGCCATTAAAACTTCCACTGGGCTTCACTTTAATACTGAGTTTTACAGAAACAAGAAGTTTATGGGGGAACAAATTGCACACCCATTTAAGAAGGTATGCAATGGATTCCTCCTGGGTGTGAATAAACACCTTGATAGCAGAAAGTTTTGTTTACGTCTAGGAATTCTGCTTGTCAAACATTTTTTGGATCTTAAAAGAAAAAGACATCTCTGCAAGAATATAAATGGTATCTGAAAAGTTGAGACTATTTTTCTGGAGAATATTTCTTGTGAAGATCCAGGTACTTACACATGTCTCTCTTGGCATTTGAGTAAATCCTGTCAATCACTTTCTAAACACAAAATTAGTTTTAATTTTAGAAATGTTAACTACACTTCTGGTGTAAGAGCCTTGGGGAAAAAATAAGACCTGCTAGCAAACTGACTGCTATGTCTTTCAAGTGACATCCGTTTTCCCCCTTCCTTTTAAAAAGAGCCTGGCAAAGCCTTTAGTATGCTATTCAGCTGAACAAGATTGCATCAGAGTATGCTGGGATGTGTGCTATTGCTTCATTCTCTTTACAGGAGGCTCAAAGCCCTGCTGCAGAAGGACTGACTGTCTAGTTATTTTACATTATTTAATAGTAATATTAAAATTTCTTACCAGTTTTCTGGGGTCCTATTACCAAGAATTTTGGTAAACGATCGCAGGTTTTTTCTTTAGACCAAATGTCTCTGTGGCGTTTGTCATCACAGGGGTTCTGTATGGGAGAGGAATACAGAGATGTCATGCTTGTGGATGTGTGTATTCACTTTTGAGCTAGAATCTCCAATCTTCGTTTTCATATACCCAAGGAGACAGAATGACAAGTCAGGGTTTCTTCTGGAAACTGAAAGCTGTGAGGTGGCATCACAAAAGCTCGGGAAGGATTTCTTTCTGTCCTTTGGTCGAGAGTGAGGGGGTGGGCAGGGGAGAGGTTCGACTTCAGGTAAACAGCCAAGTGCCCAGTAGATCATGTTTTCCTGCTCCTGGCAATTCTATAGTTACCCTCTCCCCTTAAAGTAGTAAATTTGTTGGGAAGAAACTATTCTTTCCGTTAGTCTACAGCAGTGATTCTCAACCTGTGGGTCACAACCCCTTTGGCAAACCTCTACCTCCATTACAACTCGTCACAGTAGCCAAATCACAGTTAGGAAGCAGCAACAAAAATACTTTTATGGTTGGGGTCACCACACCATGAGGCACTGCATTAAAGGATCACAGCATTAGGAAGGCTGAGAAGCACTGCTCTAAAGGGAGGTATGCTCTCAGCATTCGCTCGCTAAGTCACTCTACCGAAGGTTCTCTTGGACTTTATTATTATTATTTTTATTCTAAGTAACCTAGCTTCCTTCAAGAGGAGAGAGATCAAGTCACACTAATTTAAAGAGATAGTCAATTCCTTCCAGCTACCTTCAAAATTTGGTATTTATCTAAGATTGTAACTTTACTATGATGCCGAAAGCACCCAATTTTAGCAGACGTGCAAAATGAAGGTGAACATGGGTTATTTTTTGATCTATTTAATAAATAAGACAGTTGTACTATTTAGAGCACAATTTCTCCTAAGACACAGTCTATGCATTAATGTAAAGGGGAAGGATCACAGCATTCTTTAGTACTATTCCATGAATGGGCAAACAGGACCACTCTTTCCTTCTGGTCAGTTAACACGATAGGTGTGTGAAGTTCAATAAGCTTGTTTATATGTAGCAAAGACAAAAGTGATGCACTCCTTTTGGTTGCTACTCTTTGTTTTAAACCACTCTCTCATAATGATAATGATTTCAGCTTAAAGATACGGGGTGAAATCGGTGGGAAAATTGTATGTGCGTCAAGTGACTAACATTTGGTGATTTGTAGGACGTGAGAAGAAACGAGGCTTGTGACACCAACAAAAACTAACACAGGCTATCAGCACCAAGCTTACTCCAGAGAGCTGCCAACGTGGACTGGGAACTACAGATGTGTGTGTGTGTGTGTGTGTGTGTGTGTGTGTGTCATGTGCAAGTAGAGTGAGTGTGTGTGCATGTGTAAGACTGAACAGTGGGCCAACTGCCTAACACACAACTTGTTTGCCATTTTCCTGTTTTCAACTTATGACAGTCTGAAAATTGGTTTCTCACACCTGATTGAAAACATCGCCACCTACAGAATCGCACACTCAATATGCTACACTTTCTAATGGGAAAAGGAACAGAAAGTGTGGCTCAGTGGTAAGCAAAAATATAGGCCTACACCCCAGTAGGAAGTAGTTTCTCAAATCTCAATGTTTCCCAAATGCACAGCTTTACTTTTACTCTGAATTCTTGCATTTGGATAACTTCACACAACAACAAACCATTTGTGGGATTAATTATTTAAACCAGTTACTGATCTGATTTTACCTGCCAGAGAGGGTCTTTCTGATCAGGAAAGAGCTCAAAATACTTGTGGGCCAGCTGAGCCGGAGGCAAGGTCTGAAGACGCAGGTTGGTCCAGGTCTGCACAAAATTGGCTAGATTCACAAACGTATACAATCCCAGCCGGTCATTTCCATAGTTAGACAAATGGGTCATGAAAATACTGATCTGAAAAAGGCAAATGAACTTTGGCATAAACATAGGTTATTTTAACACTAGAGGGCAGTATGATTAACCAACATTAGACTTAATTTTTTAAATTAAATGGTCTGTATAAGGATTTCAATCAAGATCTAAGAACAAGTCACACTGATATCTGACATGATATGTGGAAATGTGGTCTGTACAACTTAAGATGGAGCATCACTATCCTTTATTTCATGGGGCAGAGTCTCCAGGCATTCGTGTGAAAAGCTACAGTTCTCAACATGATTATTCAGTTGTGTTCTAGCCCTTCTTCCTGAACAGATCTTAGAAGTTTCAAGACACTTGGAAGGTGACTTTTAAGTAGTCACCAGCTTGTCAATGCAGATACAATTCTCTGATGAGTCACATCATTTTTATTATTTTTGACTCTGAAAACTGAAGCTTTAAAAAATTATCCTTCTGGTTACTTTTCTTAAAATAGCATCAAGTCTGTGGCAATTCTCTCTCTTGTTGAGTCAGGGTCCCACTGGCTGATCCCAACCTCACAGTCCCTCAGGGTGTTAACATTACAGTCATGTACAACTGGCAGCCTATTATGATTCTAGCTACCCCGTCTATTATGATTTGGGTTACCCCTACCTCCGCTTTGTATGTGTGCACACAGATTCACATGTACAAGTGGAGGTCAGAGGCCAACCTTATGTATTATTCCTCAGATGCTGCCTAACCTCCTCTAGCCTTCCTTTGAGGTATGGTCTTTTACTTGACTGGAATTTTTCCAATAGGGAAGCTAGTTAGCTAGTGAGCCCTGGGTCTCTGCCTTCCCACACTGGGAGTACAAGCATGTACCCCCATGGCCAGGCTTCCTGCATGTGTTTCTGGTTATTAAACTCAGGTCTGCTTGTAAGTACACTAATTAAAGATGTATTTTAACCTAGTTGGTTGCTGGTCATAATTTTTGCTTTGTTTTTTATGAAAGACCTAGTTACATATTATACCTCCCCGAACAGTGTCTGTATCAGATAGAAAGTGAGAAATATACATGCTGTAGTACATCTGTATTTCTGGCATATGTCATATGTAATTTGAGTGTATTAGGACTCATGCACTAATGCAGCTGAGTTCACTACTCAGTCACCGAATAACAGTCTATACTGTGATGGAGCAGGGCACCTACCTTTTTACTTGCACAATTACCAAAAGCAAAACGGGACCGGGATTGATAAAGTCATGCTACCTCAAATGAGTTACCAGCTAGTTAACGATGTTGCTTTGCTGAAACTGAAGCTCATTTGTAAGAACTGAGGCAATATTTATAAAGCATTTCACTTAGCTCCTCTCTTAGTTAGGTTTTTTATTTCTGTGATAAAACACCATGACCAAAAGTAAATTAGGGACGAAAGAGTTTACTTCACCTTATAACTCTCAGGTCACACCCCTTCACTGAGGGGAGTCAGGGCAGGAGCTCAAGGCAAAAATGAATCAGAAGGCATGAGGGATGATTTGTCTGCCTCCCCTGGCTTTCTTACACATCCCTGGACCACCGTCCTAGGGGTGGCACCACCAGAAGTGAACTGGGCTTTCCCACATCAACCGCTGATCAAGAAAATGCTCCACCAACTTGTCTACAGGCAATCTGATAGAGACATTTTTCTTAATGGTTCTTTCCAGCTTGTATTAAGCTGACAGAAACCAAACCAAACCAAACCAAACCACCATCAACAAGGATGCCTCATAGGAGAAAAATCTTAAGTCTGTGAGCACAGCACATCTCCTGGATTTCCAAATCTATTTTTGTATGCGAACCTAACATAACACAGAGTGCAATGTAAGCAAAGAGAGGCATGTCACCTCTTGACCCTTTTAGATTTTGGAATCCAGCCTAAAATTTGTTTTGTGCTCTTAAAGAAATAGAAGGCAAAGAGGGAGTACAATTCTTTAGAATATAAAACACTTCAATTTGTTTTAGAAATATTTTTTAATGAATCATACTTTCCACTCAGAAATGGATATTGTGCATCTTTTGCCAAACAAGTAACCTACCCAAATTTTCATTATTGGTTTAGTTACAAAGGCGTATGCAACAAACAACAGGATTAGTTTGAACAAATACACAAAACGAATATATCTGGTCAGAAAGTTAGCTGTTGCCCCAGTTGCCTCTCAGAGGGGGAAGGTAAGTCCCTATTGCTGAAGATACCACTTACTTCAGACACAAGACTTAGAGAATCCTAACTGGAACTGACCTGGAAGCCTCCTCCCTGAGGACTAGCTTTCATGGTACATGTGCCAATCAAGCTTCCAAGAGAGTGAAGGAGCCAATATTCCTACCCAGCTATGGTGCTTATGGACTTCAACAACTGTCAACATGACACAATAACCCTAAAGGTGCAATAGTGGCACTCATGTCTTGATGGTAACTAACAACTCTCTAATTGGACTTATGGAAAACCCAATGGGGAGAATCATGCCCAGTACTGGAAATCTAGCAAATTGTCTGGGTCTAGTGAGGTAATGGATCTTGGAGGAGAGACCCTGTAACCACCACTTTACTAAAAGAGCACAATTCCTAAGTGCATTCTAAATATTTATCCTTATACCTACACGTAGTTCTTGCCCCCCATCAAAGAAATTTCTCTTTGCAACAGATGGAGATTATTACAGAAAACCACAATTGATCAAAAAGCAGAGAACAAGTGACCATGTGGTCCCCAATCCCAACCCATACATCTACAACACACCTCTTAAACCCAAGGCTCAGGGATCATTGCCGAAGAGGGAGTGGAAAGGCTGTAGGAAGCAGAGGTTGTAGAAACCTGAGGAACAGGCTGCCTGCTGTGAGATTGTGTCTTCTAGAAATGTCAGGGAGGAGAAACCATGAAGTCTCAACACCATGGCTACCTACATAAGACCTAAACAAGGATGACATCAACACCTCAACAGATATGCTAACATGGAAGGAGGGACTCTCATGGTTCCCCCCTCTAAACAAAGAACTACAGGCAAGTAAGAAATGCTGAAAGTGGGAGAAACAGTCTTCCAGGGAAGAGTCCCCTCGACTGGTTATCCAATACTAAATGGTCAGTCTTGAAATCATATGAAAGACCACCAAATCAAGAGCTGCTAAAATATTATAGAATATAAAAAAACTGAAATAAAAATGCAAACCTGTTGTTTGTTTGTTTGTTTTTTTTTGGGGGGGGGGGCGCCATCCAGTTCCCAAATAAATCACACATGGAGGCTTATTCTTAATTAGAAATGCTCAGCCTTAGCTTAGCTTTTTTCTTGCCAGCTTTCCTTAACTTATCTCATCTACATTTTGCCTCTGGGCTTTTCCCATTCTCTTACTTCTGTAAATCTTACTTTTACTCCATGGCTTGCTGTGTAGCTGGGTGGCTGGCACCTGATCTTCTCCTCCTTCTCTGGCTACTTGTACTTTCTCCCAGATTTCTCCTTCTATCTATTCTCCCTGCCTGCCAGCCCCACCTATCCTTTCTCCTGCCTTGCTATTGGCTGTTCAGTTCTTTATTAACCATCAGGTGTTTTAGATAGACACAGTAACACAGCTTCACAGAGTTAAACAAATGCAACATAAACAAAAGCAACACACCTTAAAATAATATTTCCCAACACAAACCAAACAAAAACAAAATTGTTAGTTCCGTCAAGGATTCATTCTTGTCTCTGCTAACTTGACACCTCCCATTTCTTCCTCTCACCCGACTGTGGCATGTTCCTCTCCAGTAGTTTTCTTCCTGGCCACTTCTCTCTGTTCACATTGCTGATAAAGAATATCTTTATGCCTTTAGCTTTGTCCTACATACTGTTTAAGAAAGTAGGCTCTAATACCTTCTGGCTCTGAGATCTTTAAAGTTTTCAATTCCCAGGATTTTATCTAGAACAAATAACATGAGTTAACAGTAATGCTGACCCTAGGGTTGCCATTACAGTCATAAAGAAACCCAAAGCACAGCCTCGGGTTGCACTTAACAACTGCACAACAAGCAATGGCTATTTATAGTATTATGGTCATCGATGCTCCTGCTGGTTTGAAGAAACATCATTTTTTCTCGTTTATAGCAATGTTCTAGCAGCTCACCAGCTCAGATCTGCCACCTTGTAACACCCATTTTTCTGCATCCATCTTCTGATCTTTTCTACAAGGCAAGATTCCACTGCCAGTGACTTGGGATTTCCTTCATACCATCCACTCATAGCTTATTTTTTAAAATAAATAATTCATTCTTATTTTTTGTGCATTGGTGTTTTGCCAGCATGTATGTCTATGAAAGGGCTTCAAATCTTGGAGTTACAAACAGTGGGTGCTGAGACTTGAACCCAGGTACTCTGGAAGAGCAGTCAGTGCTCTTAACCACTGAGCCATGTCTCCAGCCCCCAACTCATAGCTTCGTAAATCATCTTTTTCACTGACCTGCCAATCTGAGACTTGGAAGCAGTTCTCCCATTGATTTCCCTCCAAACAGAGATATTTCAGCACAGCCTTGGGGAAAACATAATGACAGCTACTCATAACACGTCAGTGTATGGTCCCAATCTCTTTATCCTCTTCCTCGTTTTTTCCCTAAAAGTTAATTAATTAAGTGGGATTGAATTTTGCTCCTCAGATTTAGAACAAGCATTTTTACTTGCTGAGGTCTCTCCCTGGCAGAAGCAGTCTCTTCTTGTATGTGTATGTGAAGCATTCACAGGGGCATGAGTGTGTATGTAGACCCAGGAGCATATGGAGACCAGAGGAGGGCATTGGGTTTTCTCTATAACTCTCCACCTCATTCCTTTGAGGTAGGATCTCTTTTTGGAAACAAAAGCTTGCATTGTTTGGCTAGGCTGTTCTGGGCTTTGTTTTTTCCCTGCTGTGTCTTTAGAGGGAAACGCCACGTTGATTCACTAATTTCAAACTACTCCTATCTATATCTTTCTAAATTTCACATGTGAACATCTAAGTATCTTCTTGGGATGTCTTGCATCATTCATTTAATCTTCACTTTTACAATCCTCTTGGG